GACACGACAAGGAAGAGGAGGGAAAAATGTGTAGAATCGCCCGAACCTCTTTTTGTAAATGTCTCTGCACTGAGCACCGGTTCCCTGTGCTGGTCTGGCTGTAGCTCTGCCCTCTGAACTCTGCCTGGGTGGGGTGGCCGCAGAGGGAGTCCCATGTCCAGAGATTCCTTACTCGCCATATTTTCCTTTATATAGTGATTTTTCACTTGTGAATGCCAGAAACTGACATCCTGGACCTTATGGTAGATCCAGAGCTCTGGTGATGCTCTGTGAGCACAGCTTCTGTTAGTTTTCAATCCCTCCCCCATGTAGCCTTTCCTACCTGGCTGTCTCTGCTGCCCACCAAAACCAGAAGTCTCATCTTTCTCTTGATGAGTTAAGGGTGGATTTGAACCATCTACCTTTCCATTAGTAGCTCAACACTCAGTCAACTGTACCACTAGTTCTATTACTTAGCATGCAAACTCCCATTGTAGGCAGTAATATTGGGATCCAGTATCTGCTTCACTACAGGATAATCCAGAAGAGAGGCTGAGTTTCTCAACCTCCTGGTATCCTGGGTAAGGAGTAGACATATGACGCAGTCTTACCCAAACTTCCAATCAGGCCTCAGGGATGTGGAGACAGTTCATAATATATTCATGATGTTGTTGTTGTTGTTAAGTGCCGCTGAGTCGGTTCTGACCCACAGTGATCCTGTACAGGGTTTCCAAGGAGCAGTTGGTGAGCTTGAACCACCAGCCTTGTGATTCAAGCCGACTTTGCAGTCTAGTGCATTAACCAACAGTGCCACACTATAGGATCTTATTATTCAATTGTGAGCAACTGTTGTCAAGACTAATGGCGATTGTCACAACTATAAATGTAGAAGAGGTGTAACTAAAAGGGGAGAGCAGTTAATCTGTCATTTCAGGACAGAGGACCCTAGGATCATCAATCTTTTTTCTATTTATCAGGATGCTTTTTTATTGGTCTAGTTGTGAGGATTTTTGTTTTCTTTACATTGAGATGCAATTCATATTGAAGGCTATGGTCTTTGATCTTCATCAGTAAGTATTTTAAGTCCTCTTCACTTTCAGCAAGCAAGGTTGTATTATCTGCATATCGCAGGTTGTTAATGAGTCTTCCTCCAATCCTGATGCCATGTTTTTCTTCATAGAACCCAGTTTCTCAGATTATTTGCTCAGCATACAGGTTGAATAAGTATGGTGAAATAATACAACATGTCACACACCTTTCCTAATTTTAAACCATTCAGTGTTCCTATGTTCTCTTCAAACAACTGACTTTTAGTCAATGTACAGGTTCCTCATGAGCACAATTAAGTGTTCAGAAATACTCATACTTCGCAATATTGTCCATAATTTGTCATGATCCACACAATTGAAAGCCTTTGTATAGTCAAAAAAACACAGGTAAACATCTTTCTGGTATTCTCTGCTTTCAGCCAAGATCCATCTGATATATATATATATATTTCATTGGTTTGCTTTTCTAGGAAACCTGGCCTACAACAAGTGGTACCGAGAGAGGGGTTCTAGACAAACAAAATCACAAGGATGAGTTATCTAAGTTGGTTCTCAAGTCTGATTAATTACAAAGGCACTGATATAGGGTAGAAACATGTCTAAGTTCCATTTCATAGGAATCGGTCTTGGGCTGATTTTGAATTTGGCCCTCTTTCTTCCTTGTGGAGTCAGAGTAAGTCAGACTTGGTTTAAGCAGTTGGCATTGTGTCCCAGATTCATTGCAATGGCTCCAGACCTATGAAATTATGAGGATTTGTGGGAGACAAATGAAGGGATGTGGGATAAAATATTTCAAAGGAGAGGAGAACAGAAGCTTCTGGTATTGCCTGGATCCAATTTCAGGCTGGTTAAAAAGGATGGCTGAAATTGGGCCTGGGACTACTGGAATCCACCCTGCCAGAGGTCCAAGGCCATATGCATACAAATGGGGTTAGTCCAAGGTAGAAGTAAAGACTGAATTTGAGTGTTTTAAAAGGTATGCGTGTTTGACTACCTTATGGATATTTGTTTCTCCTGCATATTATTGTAAAATAAACATACATTTGTGATAGGAATATTGGAAAGTATGATTATAGAGAGATTGTAAACCCATTTTCAGCCTACACTTGATTGGATTTGCTAAAAGGGGAGTTAGAAGTTGCCCAGAAAAATACATGCTTTTTGCTTTAAGCCTTTGTGAAGTATGGGGCTTTAGGTGGAATCCTGAGCTCCACTCAGAATCTTCAGAGTTGGTACATTTGCATTTGAAAAGACATGAAGACCAACCCAGAACTTCAGGGAGAACTGGAGATTCAAGCAGAGAGAAAAAAAAAAAGACTAAAATTTGGTGTTTGAGTTTCAAAGGTATCAAAGAAAGGAAAGTAGGTCCATCAAAGAAAATCTCCTTCTATTACTGAAAGTTAAAGGGATCCAGGGAGTCCTATCCTCACTGGTGAAGACCTGGATCTATGTGTGAGTGGAATTGGGGGAATCATAGCAATGAAGACATGAGTGAGTTGGGCATGTTCTCTTTGTCCCTGTTAAACTTGAGATAATAGAAAGGGAAGGCTGACTGGTCAGAAGTTTAGGAAGTGTGTGAACTCTTGAGCCCAGGGGCACTGACATAACCCATGGGGGCTAGGGCTGAGAGTGAGGGTGCCAGTTGGTTTAAAGAAGAGGCAGGTGTTTGTGAACTCCCAAACTTGTAGCTGGTACCCATTTGACCCAGATTGGATAGGTAGGGTTGAGCTGAGCAGAACCTGACTAGATGACAATAAAGATGTTTGATACTGTGAGCAAGTGTCATTTGATACAATATTTTGGACTGGACTTTTGCTTATGGATGCAGTTGTTCAAAATTAAACCAGAATGGAAGATTCTCTCTATCACAAACCATGCTTGTCTCCTCAGTGTATTGGTTGATGTTATTGTTGTGAAGTGCCGTTGAGTCGATTCCGATCCATAGAGACCTTATATAGGGTTTACAAGAAGCAGCTATTGAACTTGAATCACCAAACTTGCAGTTCAAATGACTTTGTAGTCTGATGCATTAGCCCACAGCACCACACCAGAACTCCATGTTGTTGTTGTTGTTAAATGCTGTCGAGTTGATTCCGACCCATAGTGACTCTGTATAGGATTTCCAAGGAGCAGCTGGTGAGCTTAAACCGCTGACCTTGCAGTTCAAACAACTTTGCAGTCTGGCGTATTAACTCACAGTGCCACACCAGAATTCTATAGGGATGGGCAATTTAGACTATCAAAAATGGGGGATGTTATAAAGGCAGGAAGTGGCTGGCATACAAACTTTCTTAGGTGTGCTTTAGTTTTAGAATGAAGAGTCAAGGGGGAATTCCCACAGATTAGTTTCCCCCTTTTTCACATTGGTCTAGTAAAGGAGGCGGTGGGTGGGTGGGTGGGGGAGGGGGATGCTGATAGGATTTTATGATTCCCATTGTGAGAGTCAGTCATTGTTAGTAAGATTAATTGTGATTGTCAAACCTGTAATGTAGAATATGTGTAACTAAAAGGAGGGAGTAGTTAGCTTTCATTTCAGGAACATCATTTAGGAAGAGCTTGAGTGGAGTATGGGATCACTGCCTGGAAAAGCAGTGACAGCAGAGGTGTTGGCATGGAATGAATGATAGAGCAGGTATGGACTCTAGGCCCATGGACTGAGTAAGGCTGTGTCTACAGGTAGGAGGCTGGCTTACAGAATGTGCTCTTTGGATTTTTGAATGATGAATACATATTTTTGTTTTGTTTTGCATGTGTACATCAAATACTTTTGCTGTGTTTATCTGTGACATTTAAGATGAAAATGGGGCCAGTATGCTTTAGGATGTATGTGTTTTCTCTCTCTCTCTCTCTCTTTTTTTTTTTTTTTAAATAGAGAAATGTTGTTTAATGGTAAAGCTTAGCACACTCCAGCACAGGGCATGGTGTGGAGTTGAAGCAGCAGGAACAGGTAGGTGACCCCTATGGAGCCTCACATGACAAAAAGGATGAGGAAGGTGACCATCAAACAGAAGAGCCTCATGGCCTCAGAAAGGGCAAAGCCCAGAATGGCATAGGAGAAGAGCTGCAGCTTGAGCGACGGGTTCCTGGCATAGCCGATGATTAAGCTGCCAAACACTGTCCCAATGCCGGCCCCTGAACCAGCCACCCCAACTGTGGCAGCCCCAGCACCAATAAACTTGGCTGCTGTGTCAATGTCCCGGCAGACAATGCTGGTCTGGAACTCCCGCCTGGCAACCTGGAGTTGGGAGCTGCTGTAGGAAGGCTAGAAGGAGGGGAAGAGAGGGAAGAGTGGAAAGTAGCAATGGCAAGAAAGGGAGAGCAGGAGATAGTGAGGCCTAAGACAGGGAGCAGACTCCTAGGATGTATGTGTTTTATATCACGTTAGATGCAAGTATTATTGCCGGAGTCGCTCTGAAGGAGTTGTCAACGCCATGCGGGTTGTAACAAAGGATGTGCTTTATTGTGCTAGCACATGGCTCAGTATCCAGAGGCTGAGTCTCATCTTCTCTGTGTGAGGATCTTTTATAGGGAATAGAGGGTGCATACATGAGTTCATTTTGGATTGGTTAGCAGGAGCCAACAGCTTCACAGGGCTACCTGGGATTGGTTGGTTCAAACATAAGGTGGGGAAGATATATGAGCATACAAGACAGAAGCAGAAGCAGGTGAGCATTAGCTCGGGGCTCTGTTCCCTCCTGGATGTGGGTCAGGAACAGGAGATTAGCCTGGGTAATCACATGAGGCTGAGGTGGTCTGTGCTTATTTCCTGGAATGTGAACCTTGCTCCAGGAATGAGCTATGAACCTGGGGGGCCAGCGCCTATTTCCTCAGGTCTGCCCACCTCTGAGGCCCATGTAGCTAGATAGCAAACTAGTGGGCTTTACTTTTCTGGATGATATTTTTGGGTCAGTGGGCATGGGCTGATAGGTATGTTGCCAGAGTATGCAGGAAGTAGTTTTCTTTTCTACCCTGTCTTCACCTATACATTTTAGTGTCTTGATGGAAGGAGGCATGGGATGAGCAGACATCCCCCTATGATGATCAGAAATCCTCTCACCAGAGTTTTGCATTCTCCAATGCTGAGAACCTGCCTGCCCATAATGATTCTGGACTCCATCCATGTCACATTTGCACAGGAATATGAACTAGTTTTTGTATCTTTTTCACAATGTCCTCAATGGCTCATCCTTGATAATCTATCTGTAAACAATAGTTTATCAGGTTAAACTTTCCACACACACACACACACAAGCACCCGTTTCTTGAGCTAATAAATAGTCTAGGGCTAGTCTATTTCAATAAACAGCATTTCTGAGTTGAGTTTGTTGCTGAGTTAAGAGGGTTCAGGCTCTCCCAGTTTCGTTGATCATAGGTTCAGTTAGCTGGGAGGGTGCCCTTACACTTATATTAACTATAGAAGAGGAGTGTGGTGGTTTGGTCCACCTTGGTGGTGTGGGTGTATAGATTACAGATATTTTTTTTTCTCGTTCCCACACCCCAAAGTCTAATTAAGATGATGTTTAGTCTGTGCATAGATCAGCCAGCTCCCATTTTGTGGCTGAAGTGGGGCGGGTCGTACATCTCAATATTACCTTACAAAGTTTGGTAGGGTCAGTTTCAGCTTCCCAAGAAGACGATGCTTTCTTCAGTCTGCTGGTGTGAATCCAGGTGGGGACTTCTTTTACCTTGGCTGCTGGG